GGCTGGAGAATTGGGCAGAGGGGAATCTCATAGAGCTCAAGAATGAGAGATGTGAAGTCTTACACTGGGAGAAGAATGATTCCAGCCATCGGTACATTCTGGGGACTGGAGTATAGCTTGGCAATGAAGGGCCTTGGGGTCTTTGGGAACAAGAAGCTTATCATCTACCAGCAATATGCCCTTACAATAAAAAAGGCCAACAGCATCCTGGGCTGCACAAGGAAGAGCACTGCTAGCATGTAAAAGAAAGTGATCCTTCCTCTGCATTCAGCACATTTGGAATGCTGAATCCAGTTTTGAGTGCACAGAACAAGAAAGACATGGACATACTGGAGTGAATCCAGGGCAAGACAACAAAGATTATTAAAGGACTGAAGTACTTTTGTGTTAAGAAGAGGCCCACTATATCCATACAAAGTGTTGGCAAGACTTTGCCTTCCTGGTATTGCTCACTCTATAATTCATAATCATATAATTTCAAGTATCTTGACCCTGTATTTGCAAACCATCCTCTTTATAGTAGTCTTGTCATATTACTTACTTACTTACTACTGTTCTGCTCTGGCAGTCTAACTGTCCACTCTGCTCATCTTTGTGCAGCTCTCTGCTTCCCTTAGGTTGGGAACCATGCCTATTCTCTGCTTACTCAGATTCTGTTTGAATACCATGCACAGCTGTGATGATTAGATACAGCTGTCAGAGCAACAAAAAAGCAGCATAGTTTTTATTAGTTTTTACGTGTTTATTAGTTGTAGGTATGTTCCTTATTTTACTGACTACTGGCTGTTCCTTGGAAAGTAGCTATGCCTCTTATCTTGGGATGTTTGTGTTTAACAGTGTGGACACTACCAGCAGTGTTTCTTTGTGCCCCCATCTAATTAAATTCTCATGGCAGCAAATCAGCTTGATAAACTGAAAGCAGTGTGTCTTGCTGTGGCACTGGAGATCTTGTATCAGAGAACCTGTTTGTCAATATACATGTGAAGTAAGGGTGGGCCACTTTATCCTCTTGCCTTGCAGGTGACTTGAGACACTCATAACAAAAACTGCCTTTCTTCTGGGGATGAGAACTACATATATTTAAAGACTGGCTTCTCTTGCACATTGCAGCAATAAACATGTCTCCAGTTTGATTGTCTGAATAGGAGAATTGCTCTGTGGTCATCCTAGGTAGTCAGTGGGCAGATGGCTTATTTAAGCTGCTACTATCAATATGTGTTATAGACCCTGGCTTGGCTTTAAATCCAGCCCCATCAAAACAAGGTGAACAGCTGCAGCATGACTCTGTAGTGCAGATGGGCTTGAGCTGAATGGCAGTGACGTGTACAAATATTTTCCTTGTGGGCTTTAGTCTTCATAAACCCATTTAGTAGAACTGTTAATTGTAGCTTTAAGTGCCCAAGTCAGTGTATGTGTGGTGACCTTTAAAAATCTGCTTTGAGGGAGCTTCCAGATTGATGTGAAGTGATGTGCAGGGTAGTTGCTGTGGAGCAGACTGATGCTGGTAGCTTTATGTGCCTCTCAAACCAGTTCTTTTTGGTTTTTGTACCTTGCAAAGGAGTGGTAATCTGACCCCAAGTAGGCACCATCTTTCTGGTACAGGAGTCTAGTTATACAATATGAGGTTCTCATAAGTTAAAAGCTGGGAGGTTTTTCTAACCTCTGCCTATAGCTTGAAAGTCGCTAGTCATCAGCAGTTTGAGGGAACCTCTTAACTGGTTTCAATGGAACTGGACCAAGTCATAGTCATTGTGTTCTCTCACCAACTGCGGGCTCTTGTGCAGGGCACTTCTAGTTAGAAAGATTTCCTGAGAAGTGATTCATGTCCAGATGTCAGCTGTGCAATGCCTTTCTCATTTGCATACTTACAGAGTATTGTAAGGGCTTCCATTTATTTTTTTTTCTCTTGAAACCTCTGTTCTACTAATTATTTATTTTCTTAAATAAAAAACATTGTGAAAGAGTCAGAGAAATCCCACTATTGTGGGATTGCAATGCCTTTCTGTTGCAATGCCTTTCTTAATGTTGGAAGTGCTGAGTTGCAAACCCATATTTTCATAAATGCTCAAAAACATATTTTTAAACTACTTCTAAACAAAATCTCAGTACATATAGAAACTAGAATTAAATTTTATCCTCTTTCAAAAAATGGAGAGAAACGGTACAATCCTGACACTCCTTTGTAGTCTATTTGCCTTTTCATAATTCCATAAGGGTTTATTCATCTAATATTTCTGTAATAAACTTTTCTCCCCAGTGTGACACATCAACAAACCACGATGGATGAATAACAAAGGGTATGCTACTCTTATGCTTTGTACTACTCTCTAAGGAGTAACACCTGCCTTTAGAAAAGGAGATATCTTGACTTCTTATGCAGGGTAAGAAAGCAGGAAAGTAATAATAGCTTTGTCAGTGCAAGAACACTTCATAGTGCATCTGAATGATAGATGACATACAAATTTTTGAATTCATCATCAAAACAGATCTAATGGCTCACTGTATATTCCCTTGCATCTAAAGCAATAACATTCAGTTACTCATTTCAATAGAACACAGAAAATAATTTTCTTGGGCTATTTGAAAAATTGCAATTCTGCTTATATTTCAAATTCCTTAATCCCTATTCTGCAATTTTTAGACAAGCAAGTAACCGGATTTGCTTTTCATTTTAAATCACAATGTCCTACTTGTGTTTGTGCCATCAGAAATCCCCCAGAGGGCTAAGAGGCAGTGGTAAAGCAAAAGAGGAAATAGCTGGACAGTCATTCAGTAGTCATAGTTAAAGGGAAGCAGTGCAATATTCCTTTATTTACGTATAAGGAAAGAGGAGTGATGAAAATGAATGTGGGAATATCTTTTTAGAAGAACTTGTGGAAACAAAGTCAGCAAGTTTCTGTTAGAGTGTGGCATTTATTTCACGATGGCATTTCATTTTTATCATGTCCTGTTATAAGTTATGGGCCCACTTACTGCTATTGTTTTTAATTCTTTAGCTTTCCCATGGCAGCTGGAGATTATTTAAAATAAATAACCTTGCTGTTTTTCTATGAGAGATGAAATTCAGGAAAGTCTAGCCTCCTGCCATACCAGATTCTGAGTTTTCAGAGGAAAAACTAGGCACATCTTTTGTTTGACTAAATGAGGTGAAGGGAGCTCTCTGTCATACTACAAGAATTTACTTGTGCTTTTTTTCTCTAGCAAATGATATTGATGGGGGGAAAAAGTGTAACTGAGCATGTGGTTTATCTCACCCATTAAATTCACATTTACAACTGTCTTTCAGAATTAAATTTTTCTCTGAATTTGGCCTCCTTGTGAAATATGTATGAACCCTTTTTTGGGACTATAACATAAGCCTGGATGGCATTACCTCTAATATTTCATGAAATGTACACACAGACTTACAGGCAACATGTAAGCAGAATTAAGCAGGTACATTTTGCAGCAGCTACACCAGCTTGAGGGCAGCCAGCATCATTTTCTCCTTTCTTACATAAATATTTTCCCCTTCCTCTCTGCTATGCCAGTAAATTACATACGTGGCCAGCAGGTCAAAGGAGGTGATTGTCCCTCACTCTGCTCACGTGAGACCCCACCTGGACTACAGCACACAGTTCCCATGCCCTCAGCATAAGAAGGACATGGAACTGCTGGAGCAAGTCCAGAGGAGGCCACAATGTTCGTAAGAGGACTGGAGCACCTCCCCTACAAAGACAGACTGAGGAAGTTGGGTCTGTTCATCCTGGAGAAGAGAAGGTTGTGCAACCTCCCACTATCTGAAGGGTACTACAGGGAAACTGGAGAGGGAGTCAGTGTCAGGAACTGTAGTAACAGGGCAAGGGGTAATGGGTACAAACTGAAACGGGGGAAATTTAGGTTAGACATTAAGAAGACATTCTTTAATCTTCTGGGGAGAGACTAGAAGAGGTGGCCTAGGGAGGTTGTGGATGTCCCAACCCTGGCAGTGTTGAAGGCCAGGTTGGATAAGGCCCAAAATAAGCTGCTCTAGTGGAAGGTGTCCCTGCCCAAGGCAGCAGGGGTTTGGAATAGATGATCTTTTAGTCCATTCTAATCCCTTCACATTCTACAATTGTATGATTCCATCTGTGTTATAATACCCAGATACAAGAACATGATTGAAGCAACTGTCCAAAAAATTGTATAAGAAATCACTGCCCTTCTGATGAACATTTTTTCAATAGAACACATGCTTCCTGAATTTACAGTGGTTTGATCTCATCAATGTGTATAAATGTCTAAAGGCAGAGGTGTCAAGAGCAGGGAGCCAGGCTCTTCTTGGTGGTGCCAACCACTTGTACACGAGAGTACTGTCAAATACTGATGCACAGTAAATTCCACTTAAACATAAGAAAGAGCTTTACTGTGTGGGTGATTGAGTATTGGAACAGATTGTCCAGAGAAGGTGTGAACTCTCCCTCACTGGAGATATTCAAGAACCATATAGACACAATCCCGTGACAAATGCTCTGGGATAACCCTGCTTAAGCAGGGAGGTTGAATAGATGACCCAATGTGGTCCCTACCAACATCTTCTGTGTTTCTGTGACTTAAGCTTCCCTATGTCAGAGAGAAGACACCCAATATCACGAAAGATGTTTGACACAACTGATGTTTTGGACGTATTCTGGGGGTTCGAATTTGTCTCCAAGTTGTCGATGGACCCGTGTCTTATCCCAGCGGAGCGCCTGTGCTTTGACAGGCTGGCAGAGGCGACTCCGGACCGGCTACAGCCTGAAGGAGCGGATCCCGATGGAGCAGAGCCCAATGGAGCGGAGCCCCCCGCTGCCACCCGGCTCTCCGGGCACGGGGGCCGCGCTCCGCCCCGCCCCGCCCACCCGGTGCTCTCTGGGCACTGATTGGCTCGCATTCCGCAGGCCCCGCCACGGCCGCTCGCTGATTGGGCGGAGCCGGCGATGCTCGCCGCTCATTGGCGCAGGCGGGGCGATCCCGCCCTTTCCGCGCTGCTGCCCGGCGTAGGCGCGGTGCGGAGCCGCAGCTGCTTGTCCGCCTTCACCCATGGCCGACATGGAGCTCTTCAGTGCCCAGCAGCCGCAGCAGCCACCCGCTGGGAACGGGATGCCCGACGGTGGCGAGGAGGATCCCGCCGCCGCTTTCCTGGCGCAGCAGGAGAACGAGATCGCGGGCATCGAGAACGACGAGGGCTACGGCATCCTGGAGAACGGCGAGGTGCCCGAGGCACTGCAGGGTCCCGAGGGCCTCGGCGCGGGTACGCCCTGCGGGGGCCGCGGGTGGGGCGGGGGCTGAGGGGTCCCGGGTCCCCTCGTCCCTCGGCGCGGCGCGGCCGGGCGGGGGCGGCGCCGGCGGGACCCTCGCTGTGCCCCGAGCGGGGCCCGCTGCCCGGGGCTGGTCCGAGGGTGGGTCGGGGCCGTCCGCGCTGCGCCGCAAGGTGAGCTACCTCCCTGCTCCCAGGTTATAGTTTGTATCACCTGAAGATGCCTAAGCCGTGCCTGTGTCCTAATGAGAACGGTGCTGATCTCGTCTAATCCAGGAGCCTGTCTGAAGGAAGGCTTCTGAAAGCTGAATAAATCCGCCACTTGCATTTCTGTCTTCAGCGGGGGTGATCTTAGTCTTAAAGCATAAGAGGAGTTAAGCTAATGTTTAATTTTACTAAACCTTTAGCCTTTGTTACTTGGTAACCTTTGTACTGAATGTAGCAAGCCCGACACTGCAGAACCCGCGTTTGGAGAAGGGTGGGAACTGAGTGTTGAGAAGTATGGATTATAGTCTAATGGTGGCTAAAGCAGCCCAAAATAAACACTTCTCCTTTTGAAAGGTTTTAACCGAAGCCCGAGTGGAAAGGGGTTGATGTTGCAACACTCTCAGAAGACTTTGCTTCTTCTTATCACCAGGGCCAAATACATACTGGGGACATATTTGCTCTCATGTGACTTCCCTTTGTCACTGCAGTAGGATGCCACTCTCCTTCAGACTGAGTTGAATAACTGCTCCCCAGTTCATTGTTGGAACATCTTTAGAATTAAGTCTTCATTTTGCAACCTGATATCAGAAATTACTGACGTATCTTATGTATGAGGGGGCAGGTTTGTAGTATTTCGGTCAATAAAGCTCATCTAGATAAACTGTGTAATGGAGACCTTCCACTGCTTATCTGGAGGTAGCACTGCTCTTAACGTCAGCTCACTCATAAGTTCCAAAATATATGGATTACATACTCCTGAAAAAAAAGGTATTTACTGGGGACTATTTTGTTCCAGTACAAGAACTTGAGGATAATTGTTATCAGAACACCATCCTGTTTTGGTACCATACATAATTTGACTTCCGTATTCTATGTATAGTGCAGAAACAGACACAATGGTCACTTCCCTTCTTACTTTCAGAAGCCTTAAACAAACATCATGCCTTACATGGGCTTTATGTTCCAAACAGACTCTGGAACATTAAAGCAGCTGTTTGAAAACTATTTTAGTTGAAAAAAAATAATCTATCATTGACCTTGCCCACAATATACTGGAACAGCTAGAAGAGTATGTTCTCTACATACATGTAATGATGACTATTGCAAAGTGTTTCCTTGTCAAAAAGTTGATTTGTTTAATGCTTCTAGATTAGTTTCTCATTAAGAAGTAGTTCTTAATCTGCCTTTTAAGCACTTTTTCTGAAGTCATGTAAGTTGACTTGTCATGAACTGCAAAAGGGTTATTGGAGAACTTTAGGAATAAGTTAATAAAATAATAAATATGATAATATGATCCAAGGATCTGGGAACCCTAGGCAGGAACTGTATGTCATCTTGCTTCCTTTTATGCCCTGGGATTGCATTTATGCTCTGGCCTGTTAAATAGGCATGGTAGACGATGCTTGTGGACTTGTGGTGGCCCTGTTTTTTAACAGAATATTGATCTCTGTTGACTGTCAGAGCCTGTACTTGCTTGCTCCATGTTAAAAAGAACAGACTTCAGCCATGCAAAATGTACTGGTTCAGGCATGGTGACAAATGATCTAATGACTTCTTTTGCCATTTGTGTTAGACATTTCTTATCATCTGATCAGTACCTTAATAATTATCAGACAGTTGTAGTCTCTGGCATGTTAGCTCATTAAACTCTTCTGTAATTGAGTAGGTGAATGCAAATTTCTCCTTGAAACAATGCAATTTCTTATGTAAATCCTTAAGCATAATGACCAGGGATTTGTGGATTTACTTTTTTTAACCGTAACCTTTCTTGAACTCCTTATTTACAGGTCTCTTGGATAAGTTCTTTATAAACACTGGGCCAAAACTAATAACTTGGGCAGCTCTCAACTGAAGTTTGAAGATCTTAACTTCAGATACAGTCACAAGCAGTCATCAGCTTCTTGAAATAACAGTTTTAAGAATCACAGTTTCTCCTCAACAGTCTTTCACTTTCAGTCTCTTGGTAAATAGTTAGACAAATACATAGACAGAAGTGAGCTTCATGAATTGTAAATATCATTATTGGGAATTCTGTTAATTGTCGTAGTGGTGGATACTGGGTGAGTATGGTGGGAATGGCGGAATGCTGCCAGGCTCGTGCGTCTCACACAGTATCATTTCATGTTGCCATGATCAGGGTTGGAATACTGATCCAGGCCTGATCCAGTAGGCTATTCATTATGTAAATAGCTATGCCATTCAAGCTGTCTGAGCATGCAAAAACCTAATCTTATTTCCCTTGGAAGGTGAAGCATAATCCCTGATCCAGAAAGCAGAGAGTACTGTATAAATCAAGTAATGGAATGCTGTTGCTTAGGTATGGGTAACATGATATGACATTTATTTTTCAGTGATGAATCAATGTCCATGTATTTGCAGTGAGATTCTCTCAATAGTGCGTCTTGAGGTTGTATTGGTTCAAGAGCAAGAGAGAGAGAGAGTTCAAGGGGAAATGTGTGATTTCTAGATCCTGTATGCCAATACAAATCATCCTGGCAGTTTGGCAAGTAGCTTCTTATGGGGAATTTCATTCAAAGACAAGCAGTTATGTATGTTGAAAATCATGCAAATACACAATTTTAATGTAGGCTGACTAGTCTCAGACATTGCTTTTACATTTTCACGCCTATAAGTTTTATATGAACTTGACTGAATTATGTTTCTCTTATCTTCGAAAGATGTTCGTGAGCCTCTAGCAATTAAGAAAATTAATTGTGTCTGGTGGTTTCTCTAGGTACTTCATTTAATAGCCTTTCAGGAGCTGAGTATCAATTTGCTTCAAAATTGTTTAGGAAAGAATTGATTCCTCCTGTCTCTGTAGTTAGCACCACAAACAGAAAGAGTTCTTGTCTGGCTGTTGATTTTTTCTTAATTGTTTGAACAGCCATTGATCTGGGTTTTGCTATGCAATCAGCGTCTGAGGCTTCAGAGCCCCATAAGACAGCACTGATAAAGGTATGAGAAAGGAATGGTATCTGTCAGCTCGTGTTAGTAATGCTGCATTATTATGAAGTCAGGACAGAAAAATCTTTTTTCGTTTTGTTTTGTTTTCAAGAGAATACTAGTGGAAATGTACAGAAGGTGGAAATTACAGAAGCTGTTAGATTGGAAAATTATAGAAGCTGTTATGGCACAGTGTTATTGCAGATGTGTTTTAATTCTAGCCTATTGATTATATTGAAAATGAGGGAACTCATGGGTTTTGGTAGGACAGCAGATTAAACTAAAACACTGGAAAGAAGCACTCTTCCTGAGCTGCTTGCCTTTGTTTTGCACACAGGCATGAGGATGAGTTATGGCTAGAAAAATTATTTCTTCTCCAGCTTCTTTCATAACTATGTAAACAAAAGTTTTGTAAATGATCCTTCTTTCTTATCACGTTATGGGTTAGAAGTAGGTAAAATTAAAGCATGACTGTGCCTAAAAGAAAAAAGGACGGTAAACTAGACCTTGAGTGGTGAAGTTACTTAACCTGATGTCAGAATATATTAAACTTTATGTTCTTCTGTTCTTTAACTAGAGCTGCTAACCTATTGAAAGTAGCAGCACTTAGAGTACTTATTGTTTAAAAGAGATGCTGCAGGTAACTCATAAAAAATACTTCTATTTTAAAAGAGTGTGAGAAAAATGTTTCAGTGTACTGCAAAGCCCTGCCTCTGATGTTTTAGGTAACAGTCCACTTTTGCATTGAGAATAAGACTTTAGAGAGGCTGGTGAACAAGGCTAAGCTAACTTCCTTTCAGGCCAAGTGATCCTGAGTGGTAATAATTATAGTAGCAGCCTTCAGAATAGTTAATCATCATTGTGATAAATCTCTGAGGCCATATATTGACTTCTAGGACAGAAGTGACAAAATGCTTTTTGTATTTATCTTCAAATTCCCCAGCCTTTTCTTTTGTAAGCTGTAGTAAATGTGGAGGGCATTAATGCTAGCTTTCTATTTCTGGCAAGCTTGGGTGTTGTATCTCCTGGGAATGCAAGGCAGCTGATATGACTTATCCTCTCCAGACTCTTTCAGACTCTAAAAGGTATCTGTGTTGCTGTATGAATGTTCATTATTACCATACTGTCAGCATGTGTTGCAGAACTGTAAATGTTTATATGTTTATATGTGTTCATTGCAACAGTGCCCTTAAAAATAAAAGTTTATCTTAAGTTCAAAAGCAAACAACAAGGAGTGTGGATCATTGGTAACTGAGATGGTTCTAAATATGTGGATTTTAACTTCAGGAGATACAATACTGTGATAGAATTGGATGGACTCTGAAGCCAGTAGAGGAGTCTCGTTGTTTATGGCTGCTGAAAATGTTATGATGGCACTAGCAGTATTTAGGCTTTTTCTGTGGGAAGCTTATGAAATTGCATGTTTCTGTGAACAGAAAAATCTGATACACAACTAGCATTGGTTACTGATGTGAAGGCTGGCAGACAGTTTTTCTGTACTTTATACTTAATTATACAAGAGTGAAGACTGGAGAGCTGAAATGAAGGAATGTTTGACTAATGGTATTGTTGCAGTTAGCACACTTGTATTGGCATATGACAGCATGCTGGTACATTTCTGTTTCCTCTTCTGCTTGAGATTAGCTCAGTCAGCATGCTGACTCTGCAGCTTAATTGCAAGTTCTAGGGAGCTCAGAACAGATGGGAAATTTGTTCTAATACTGCTAATACTTTTAACTTGGGTGCCCTCTGGAAACACTTAGTTCAATTTCTGTTAGTGGCTGTTTCTGTGCAGAACAAAAATGGCCCTTAGGCAAACCTATGTGTTTCATCTCAGGCACAGCCTTAAACAATGATGTTGTTCCTTTTACCTGCCAGCCTGAGTAGTGAAGACTGTAAGGAATGTTTTTTGGTGTGACAAGAAAAACATATTATCACTGTTCCTGGAAGCATCCTCAAGATTTATGAGCCCTCTCACCCAGCTGGTGACTGTAGTCTTTTTAAAGGCCTCCTGTACCTTCCAGAGGAGTAGGAATCCAACAAAGTAGCAACCATCTCTCAGTTATGGGAGTCTAGTTATACAATATAGTTTCTCATAACTGAAAAACTATTTTTTCTTAATTTGAGTCTTCCCCTGCAAAAGTTAGTAACTATGTTCTTGGGGACTAGTATTCTCCAACTTAACTGCCATTCTTGAACTAATGAATTTACAGTCCTCTACATAACACAGTTTATGATTGCTCTTCAGTTCACTGATAAAGGAGTATGAAGAAATTCCTGTGTGCCATTCACTAGAACTATGAAACTGGTGCATACCTAGCTGCAAACAAGAGGACACAGCAGCATAACTTGCATAGTTTTAGGTCAGTCAGCTATCTGTTTTTAAGACGGTGGTGCAAAATAACGTGATTTTTCTGCTTACTTTTTGGTATAGTCACTTCTTTCACTGAGGGTTGTATTATGGTGGACACACTTTTGTGTGGTAGATTTATCCATGGTGATATGAGAGTAACATGAGTACTTGGTATAGCATGCTGATAGATGTTATGTAGCGCTGCTCCAGAGAGATGCCCTGCTGAGACTTAGCAGTTTCTGAAAATCTTGGTGTATTTTGTATAGTCCAGAGATTTAAATAGTTTCAAAAACTTAAAGGTTTGACTCACACCTGATATTTGTTCCCTACGGCTGTGTTGCCACTGTCATTTCAGAGATAATAATGCTGCAACTGAATTAGGAGCTATCAAGCATGTCATCACAGATGGTAGCAGAAAGGTGACTTTCCTAGGAATGTCAGCTTTATCTCTGAGCTAATTAGGAGATAACAACAGTAGGATAAGAATTACCAATTGTTGGCTGCAGCATTGTTAATCTTCCAGGTAGACACTAAAAAACTGGTAGTCATCCTTCTTAACTTAAGAACAGATGTATAGTAGTCAGCTTCTAAGAGAGGGATGACAAAGTGGGAGTAGCTTTAGAACACAGTCTGTAGCAGATTCTCAGCAGTATCAGCTCTGCTTTTTGTGTTGTTAAAAGCAGGATCTCATGATGAAGAAATGACCTCGTATTTCTGGTTCTGCAGAACAGTGGCTCACTTGGTTTTTCATGCCTGTCCAGAAAAGTGCAGGAAGAAGGAAGTGTCCCTGCAGGGTATCAAGTAACATTCCCTTTCACAACTTCCACATTACCTACTTTAGTAAAGCTTTCCATACAAGTTACAGAAATCAGTAAATCTGGCTGTTCTATCTTTCTCAAATGACTAAACAAGTCACCTCTTTACAGATGCCGTTGATGGAGTGGTTAACGGGGATGTCTATCAGGTAAGATAGAAGTATTCTGTACTTAGAATGTGCTGTTCTACTGTGAGAACTTTACCTTAATGTAGACTAATACTTCCTATTTCTTGTCTTTAAAGTAAATTTGTCTCGTATCTGAGGAGGGTCTTCTGTACTGGTAGCTCATCTCGTGGAGTTGTCAGTCTTCCTAATTATGCCCATCCTCTGAACTTAGAGGCCACATAAAGCAGCAGTTCATTTTGAAATGTGGCTTAACAGTATGTAAGCACTGTAAAGCAGACTGTTAGGCTCTGTGATATGACTTTACATTGACTTACACTGGCTGCTAAGCTGAAAGTGTGCTCTGATTACCTAGTTTAAAGTAGAGTTTTCAGATTTGCTTGCTCTTTAAAGATAATTCATGCATCCTAGTTGTCTTATTATCAAAATAGTCTTACAAGGAACGGACTGAAAACATTATACATTTCTTAGTGACATGAAGATGCATGAAATTAAGCTTCTGGCTAAAAAGCTCAATCACAGTATGAAAGCATGTTAGCCACGATAATGACAAAAGAAGGAGATACCTGCTTAATTGGTGTCAGGGAGGAAGGAGGCACGCTAAGGCAATCACTTTGTCGTAACTGAATTTCAAGGCATGGTCATTGCCTGGTGTCACAGTTGACTCGTTAGCCTGATTAAATGAATGCTTGGGAATGAAGCAACGTAAGCGATGTACTTCTCCTTAGAGTTTTAAGTGAATGCTGAGCTTTGTGGAGACAAACAGCTTTCACTGCTGCTGACATTCTTATATCCTCAGCATTACTGTGAGATTGATGGGACAACCTGTATTTCACAGGCCCTTTGCTCTTCCTTGTACAAGAGAAGGTAGATTTCCCTTTTTAGGTACCTTGATTTTGTGTTTGAAATTCTAAGAGATCAGTTGCTTGGCTGACAGAGCTTCCTCTTAATCAGAAAGAAGAGACTGAATGGGCTATACATAACTTCGGTTTTAGCTACCTGTAACTAGCTGGCCCTGCAGCTGCCCAGTTTATTTTGCTTGGGAAGAAATGTGAAGCCTGGTGGTGTTGCACCAGTGTAGTGTCTTCTCTTTGCATTGTTTCTTCATTGAGGCTACAAGAAGTCCAGAGAGGGGCAAGCCAAATCTGTGGTCAGCTGCAGTCGACCTGGTACTCATAGGAGTGGTATTCCTTAACTCTGCTAGGGGTAGGATGAAGCAATAAAAGTCATTAAACTTAGAGTATCTTCTGTAGCAAATACCACAATATTCATTAGCTTTGTAAATCTGGTGTATTAATGTTAGCTCTATTCATTTCGAGTCTTTGAGATGTTACATTGTGAAAAGGATGTTAGTACTCTCACTGTTCTGATGATTAAATATTAAAATGCCTCTTGGGTTATAAGCTGCATACAGCAATCCAAATTTTGTAATGTGATACGCAGATGTCTCTTGAAGTAGACAAATAAGCTGCAAAGAATGTTTTGTACTGCTGTGCACAAAACCATAAAGAAAATTATTTCACAACAAATATTTAAGGTGAGATGAACTCAGAGAATATATGGCCTACAACTGTGTAGTGAGGTGCTAGGCATTGTCTTCTGCATTCTGCGGGCTTAGTGCTCTGGCACTAAGTGTTTGTGGCACTTGTATTTCCAGTTGTGTTGAATCTTTGTTTGATCCCTGATTTCTGGAGGAATCCCTGTGTTAATTTCCTTTGATTCTGCTGTGATTTTTTTAATGGTGGAAATGTGTTATAACATCAAATGAATGTGTTATTGGCTCAATTCAAATGGAGTATAATTTTATATAGCTGGCAGGCAGTTATCTGAAATCACTTGTTCTACACAAATGACTTTACTGTTCCTTTCCTCCAAGGAGAGTAATGGTCCCACAGACTGCTATGCTGCCATCTCCCAAGTAGATCGACTGCAGTCAGAACCAGAAAGTATTCGTAAGTGGAGAGAGGAGCAAAAGGAGCGTCTGGAGCAACTTGGTAAGAGTGGTATTTGTTGAGTAACCTAATGTCAGCTCCTCTCAGGCTGAGAGAGGTGGGGGTGTTCTACCTGGAGAAGAGAAGGCTCTGGGGTCACCTTAGAGCAGCCCTCCAGTACCTAAAGGGGCCCTACAGAAGAACTGGAGGGGGAATTTTTACAAGAGAGCGTTGTGTAGTTTACAAGGAGGAATGGCTTTAAACAGAAAGAGGGTAGATTTGGATTACTCATTAGGAAAAAAATTCTTTGTGGTGAGGGTGGTGAGGCACTGGCACAGGCTGCCCAGAGAAGCTGTGAATGCTCCATCCCAGGCTGAATGGGGTTTTTGAGCAGTCTGGTCTAATGAAAGGTGTCTCTGCCCACAGCAGAGGAGATGGAACTAGATGATCTTAAAGGCCTCTTCCAAATCAAGCCATTCTATGATTCTTAAGCAATAGAATTCTGAGCCATGGCAGTGCTTCTTCAGAGTCTTAACATGCTTCCTGGATGAGTCTTCTAGTAAGCAGACTTAAGACTGGTGTGGGAGTCAGCAAGCAAGTGGCTCTCTCAACCTTTACTTAGAGATGAGCTGACAGAAAATGAAAAGCTTTTTTAAGCTTTGATGATAATAAATACTACAGGCATTAGTAGTTTATTTCAAAGGATAAAGATTATTCATTTTGTAATAGCTGAGGCCATCTGTTGTCACATGGATCTTAATCTAATAACTAAATTAAGAAAATAATGGATTATTAATTAAACTAAATACAGCTATCAAATGCAGTGGTACCTACCCATGGACAGTGTCTAAGAGACTACAAACTGATGTGCTTCCCACTTACATGGTGGAGGAGCCTTTGCTTGAAATTGTTAGGACAGGACCTTCTGTAAGATGTAATTCTGGATAAAGCTGACAGTTTCACTCCTCTTTTGTATTAGTTACAGCAGGTGAGGTTGTCCTGAACTGTAGGCTGTGTGTAAAAGCATGTGGAGTGCCAGGTTCCTTCACTTTGTCTAAGCATAGAGGTTTTACTAAGGTTTGTTCTAGCACTGGTATAGCAAGGTGTCTGTTTCTGGTTTGAGCAGTTTGCAGACCAACAGATTGACTGAATCTGAGCTACTCTGCAAAGTGCCTATCCTAAACTGAAGTGGACTGCCCCAGTTACGCAGGACAGAAGTTCTGTTCAGCTAATCCTTTGAATGTTTGTAGTATTAAGAGTTCTCCTAAGACTAAATCAGGAAATCTCCTAACCCTTACCTGAGTTGGTGAAGCAAGTGTCTGCACTAGAGTGCACCCTGAACCGTAAGTTGAAATGTTTGCGAGATGCATTCGAATACAAACGTGACTGACAAAGCAATTCTTAAATCTTCAGATGCAAACTCACGAAAGCAGGAAGCAGAATGGAAAGAGAAAGCAATAAAAGAGTTGGAAGAGTGGTATGCAAGGCAAGATGAAAAGCTCGAGAAAACAAAAGCCAGTAACAGGTAAAGTTTTTCCAGTCATCAGGGGAGTTATGGTTCTAGTTATGAAAATAATTAGGAAGGGAGGTGAGAATACTTCTTCTATGTCTAAGGCAATAGTCCTTCAGATCATTAAAGTAAACACTCCTACGACCTACGTTTTTAAGTTTTCTTAGATAATCTAGATTAAATATCCAGGAAGCATTAAGATGATGATCAGGTATTACTGAAGATTCCTTAGGACATGAAGCTTTAACATGGCCAGAAAATATTTTATTCTGCCCACTTCTTGTCATGCTCCCAGCTGCACAGGCCTTCAATGTCTGCAGTTACCTACCCTGAGACTAGCATTCTTACTTGCTTACTTTAGAACATATGGAAATGGCATTCTAGTTAATCTTTGCTACAGGTAATTTCATTAAATATCTTAAAATCTTTTGCTGCTCTTTTTGGAAGCAGTTCAGAAATTACATGACTCAGTTTTACTAGTGAAAAACTAAATGCTGATTGTGTCTGTAGTGGTTTGAATTGTCTAATTATGGGTCCTGTGGTAGAAAGTGATGACTTGGTTGCTGGAATAGTAAGCTCTTACACTTTCTTAGAAGTTCCCTGTGGAATTTTGACTTCAAAGTACATGACGGTAAAAGTGATAGAACTGACTTAATGCCTCTTAAATCTCTACTTCATTCTAGGTAATCATCAAGACTGCTTTATATTTTGGGAACTCACAGGGTTCAAAACTGCTGTTCGAAACTGCTGTTTTGTTAATTTTGTTTTATTTTGTTAGTTTATTTTTTTTAAATACTGCTTTTCTTATCAAAATAGCCATCAGGTTTGTCTTTATTAAATGAAGTCCTAGCTAGACTACTCTTCTTTCTAAAGGAAGAAAGGAGGCCTACACTGCCTTCAGAATTATGGATTTGCCACTTCCATAACATTCACTGAGGAATTCACCACCTTTTGGTTGAGTGAAGAAAGGGAAACAGGATTAGTACTGTCCTAGTTGGTGGCCAGAGTTCATGATACCCTCGTGGCTTTATTATGGCCAGTGTTTGAGTGCGGGATACGGAGTCTGAAGCAGGGCACATTAAACAGGTGTTGCACAGAAGTGTTTGGCATTCTCATCACCCTGGTGAGATCTCTTGCCTGCTGGTAGTTTCTGTCCTCTGTGAGTAGTCTAATGCTAACATTGGGGCTCTAGTCCTCAACTAGCTGATCTAAACTTCTAGGATGTGGAAGAATTTCTGTGTTGCCCCTCTGACCAATGCTTAATTGATCCATTCCATGTGGTAACTGCTTTCCTGTTACAGTAAGTCTAGGTGATGCAACGTTAATATGCTTGTTAAAACTGCCTCCAGCTGTGTTCCGTACTTCTCATCCTTATCTCTTTTCTCCTGCCTGCTTGCCTGCCTGTTGGACTACTTGCTACCTAGGGTGGCAGATGAAGCTTTCTACAAACAACCCTTCGCTGACGTGATTGGTTATGTGTATGTTGCTTAACTACTAATTCTGCTTGCTAGTCAACACGATAATAAGCAGGATCAAAAATAGTGCTGCGTGTCTGAAGGTGCCTTCTGAATATTTACTTTTTGGACTACTTCTGGTCTGCAGTATTAAGTGCAGTTCTCCTGTATGCAGTGCACAAATCCTAGCACTTTCAGATTAAGTCATGTAGTGTACATAGCCCTGGAATTATGGTAATGACTGGAGTACTCTTTAGACCTAAGGGTTTACAGTTGTTTCCAGGCCAGTGAACATTGCTTAGCAAGATGCTTTGCTGGGGATGTGGGTTAGTGCCTGCAGTTTCACATGGGTGCTGTATTTAGTCCTTCCACAGAGAAGCAGTGCTTAATTCTGTAATAGGCAGTGACCACCTGCTTTGCCTACATATCAGAAAAATATTCAAGCAATGCTTGCACATAAAGGTTCACAGAGAAGCCAAGGAAGGTGGAGGGGAATTGCCTGACATGAATCAGGGCAGAAAATGTGCATGCATGTAGAAATAGGAGGCTGTTAGAGAACAGATAGAAAGTACAAGAAGGTGGCATTGAGAAATCAGTGTAAACTGCTGGGAAGACATTTAGGAGTAGTGTAGATGTTTTGCCAGCCTAATAGGTCAGTGAAAATAGAGCTGTGACTTTCAAGCCCCAGTGAGTATGCTAGTTTCTGAGGGGTAGAAGGATTGCAATGTTCATTGGCTTGTTCATGTATTTTAATTTCTTCCCTTAATTTGTAGACTTGAATTGAAAGATGGACATGTCACAGATTCTAAGGTGACACCTTTAGAAGGTGTATTGGTGAGCCGTGTTCTGGCTTTGAGTGCATTAATATTGAAGATTTGGTGTGAAATTGACAGCTAACTGTAGGTAGATGTAAACCAAGACTTGTGAAATGATGGATTTACAGGTGGTGTTTAACTTTTCTGAAATTTCCTGGAGTTGATTTTGTTAGATTTTTACAATAAAACCATTATTGTTATATGTCCAATGCAAATGTGCAGTGTAAGTGCTGCATAATAAAACTGGCTGCCTGTTTCCTGAATGTAGGCTAAGCTACTAGTGCATGTTCAGCCAGCTAATCATCTGCATTAAACTCATTCTCATTTTCTATATCTGACTTAAACTTTCTCTCCTTGTTTCTTTTCTTCTCTTCACCTTTAAGCACAAACATAAATCATCCTTGCTACAGCCTAGAACAGTTAAGTAAAAAAATCTTCACTGCCCTTTAAAAGTGTCATGTCACATAAAGTAGCAGTGTTGTAGTGATCCTTGTCTTCAGTGGTGTCTGTAACCTTATCATCCTTGTGAATAGTGCTGAACCCTCATGGGAGAGTCATTTTCACTGCTTTCTCTGTACTGCTTGTTGGAGTAGATGGATTTGGTTTGATCTCTTGATGCTTACTGCTTCTGCAATCAGGCAGCTACCAGGGCCCCACATCATGTAAACTAGATGCTGGAGTGCTATCCCTGCATTGAAGCAATGCTATTGGCAGCATAGAAAAGCCAAAATAATACAGCTGGGAAGCCACTGTACATAATGTACAGTGTACATAATGTGCATAATGTACAAAGCCTTCTTAGAGTCTCCTTAGGGTGAGAGCAGGGGAAATCCATTTGTTCTGTGAGGTGACCTCAAACAAGTAATCTCCTCTGCCAAGATACGCTGTAGTTTATTGCATTCACAAGCATGGGATTCTGACTTAAATTCCTTATGATTCATGCTGCTTCACTACAGCATTGGGAATCATCAGCAGATAGTTTTATGATGGCCTGTAGGCCTTGGGGCTGATTTAAATCCTCAAACAGAATTTGTTTAAGACATGCTTGCAGGCAGTTGTAAATTTCCAGTTGGCAAATGTCCAGTATAAGCCATCAAGCAGCAGAGGCTTAACTATTTAAGACCTGGGCTTTCTCCATAAATAAAATGCCTACAAAAGAAGTACCTTACTTCCTGGAAGCTTGTGTGGTTACTCCTTAGGCAAAGACTCAATACGTATTCTTAAAACCAAACACCTGTATTCCAACATTTTACACAATCCTCTGCAATCCTCTGCACTGCTTGTGCATAGCATACTACTGCAGTCTACTTTCATCTCCAGGATTGGGGCAGTGGGAGCTTACGTGGCCATAATGTCCACAAGCAGCTGTCAGGTCACATTTCTTACGAAACATGCTGAAAGAAACTGCATCCTTCAAGAGGGAAGGAGTTCCTTACATGCTGGGCATTAACACAAGGTGCATTGCATTGCTTTTAGGGCAGCTGAAGAAGCCTTTGTGAATGATGCAGAAGAAGTTTTTCCTGGCACTGAGTGGGAACGTGTGGCTCAGCTCTGTGACTTTAATCCCAAGTCTAGTAAGCAGGCAAAAGATGTGTCCCGCATGCGTTCAGTCCTCATCTCGCTCAAGCAGGCTCCACTGGTTCGCTGAAGCAAAGCTCAATGGAGACACTACAAATGCAATATCTTAACCTTACTCAGAGAAGCTGTGTTTGCAGTAATTTGATTTATTGTTTCAATGTGTATTTTTGGACCACATCATGATGTATCTAGAGCTGATCATCGTTTGATTGCATGTTCTTCCTGATGTTTCCTTTCTGTGTCTGAAATGGGAGAACCTCCAAAACTGTAGTCTCTGTGCTGTTGTGCACCGAGGTGTCACTTCCTACATTACTGATATTAAAGATCTGTTAAACAGCAAAATGTGTTGACTTTGGATGAATTGAGAAGGTTTCCTGCTTCTTTTTGACAGAGGGTGTTTGAATTAAGTGTGAGTAAACATTTCTCTTGATTGCTAGTGATTTCACCTTGCTGGTGAATGTCCAGCCAGCAGTGCTTCTGGTCTGTGCAAGGCTGTCCTCCTTGTTTCTTTAAGCTTTCTTAAAACTCTTGAGAGCTTTAGTTGAAAAACTTCTCCACTATCCAATTTGTCACACTAGACAGCAGCTCAAGAAAACTTAACCAGCAGGCTTGTTAAGGGGCTTATCTTGTTCCAGTGGGACTGAGGACGCTGCCTTCTGCAGGTAAGTGGTTGTGTATAATTTTCTGCTGTCACTCTGCCTGTCTATCTGAGGCTCAACACAAAGGAGAGGGCACTGCAGTTAAGACCTTTGGTATTCTACTGCTTATTGTGTTCCACTAGGTTTTCAATCAAAGATCTGTGGTGCAGAGGCTGTTGGGATGTTTTTGAACTGCGTGCTTGTCCTCCCTGACCTTTGCAGACACTTCCTCCCACTAGGGTGGCGAACTGGAGAGTTGGAGAGTAAGAGAAGGGAAGACTTCCTCTTACTGCTGCTCATCTCTAGGTTGGAGCTCTGTCTGCCAAGATGGTTGAATCAGAAACAAAGTGATCTAGAAAAGCTGTGTTCTGCTTCCTTTGCTCACCGAGCAGTCACAGGGGCTGTATTCTAGCCTTGCTCTGTTAAACCTTACCTTAGCTATCTTCTAAAACTAATCTGTTCAATCTCCTATGTTATTCCACCATGTTTATCAAAGACACAGTATTTTAACTACTGTGTAGCATAATTGCTTTAATACCTTTTATGTACAAGCTGGAAGGTTAGTCCAGGTAGTTTGAAAAGGGCTGCAGATACAGACTATGATGGACCAAAGCTCAGAATGTTACTGCACAGCAGCTGTGTCCCTTTGGTGGGTAAGGTAGTCAATAAATGGTTTCCAGTTGGACTGCAGTAGTTAAGCTGTACCTTACTGTTGTCTGTAATGGCTGTACCTACTCTCATGTTTGCAAGTGTATTCACACACTACTGATGGGTGGTGATGAGAATGATAGTACACTACAAGTTTGAAAGCTTGATTCCATGGAAGATTAGGGCAAGAAGGTATCTTCTGAACTGCACAAGGGCATGGCAGGGAAGTCCCAACAGAACTGAAGCACAGAGCAAGTCCATAGAATACTGATAATCATTCCTAGCCTTGTCTAGTTACGTATTCACCTCGACCGAAAATTTCCTTTTTGCTGCACATTCAAAAGCTCTGAAAACAAAAGTGTTCAAAATGAGCTGATAATTTAATAAAGAAAAGTCCACTACATTAAGTATACAGTCTTTAAAGTGTTATTATTCATATTAAATATGAATTTAAGAAAATTTGAAAGATCAACAGGTTAGAGGGGTTCCTGCACACTGAATGATGGTATGTATTGACCACTACATTTTCCTATCTTACAGAATATTTTATCTGGCTGTGAATGTGGCTTAGAGCTGCAATCCAAGAAAATGGGCAAAGACTTGAATTCAAGGCCAAAGTAATGTTACAGAAGTTAAAGCAGTATTCTATATGCCGGGTTTGCAGAGCTTAAGAATGTGTTTGCAGATTTTTGACATATTTCATCCTGCTGGAACACTTAAAATGCAGCTCTGTGGGTTCTGATTACTTCCAGTAACTCTGGTGCAGAGATTACCTCTTCTGTCTTAATTTTACATTCAAGTATGCTAGCTCACTGTCTCCTTTATCAGTGCTGTCACAAAATCATAGACTGGCTGTGGTTGGAAGGGAACTCTAGAGGTCATGTGGTTCAACTCCTCAAGCAGAACCACGTTGAGCCTGTTGCCCATGACCATATCCAGACAGCTTCTGATGATCTGCAAGAAGTGAAATTCTACTTCCTCTCTGGGTAACCTCTGCCAGTGCTTGGATACCTGTACAGTAAAGAAGTGTTTCTGATGTTCAGATGGAGTCTCCTGTGTTTCAGTCTGTGCCCAGTGTCTCCTGTCATGGCACAAATGAAAGGAGCCCATCTTTGCGCTCTAGTTTCAGGTATTTATATACATTGGTAACATTCCCCTAAGCCTTCTCGTTTCCAGATTGAACAGTTGCAGCTCTCAGCCCTTCTGCACAGGAGAAATGCTGTAGTTGCTTTATAATCTTTGTGGCTCTTTGTGGAGCTCTTTCTGGTGTGCTTATGTCTCTTGTGTACTGGGGAGCTCAAAACCAAACACAGCACTCCTGGAGTCAGGACATTTTCTGTGCCTGAGAATTGTTTTATGTACTTAGACCTTGAGACAGAGCAAAGGAATTCTCAGGTTTATTTGGGAAAAATCAACTCCCTTGTCTGTGTTTCTAAACATTGGCTTGTTTTTTTCAGAGGTCAGTTCTGTCACTTTCTTTTGTAACTTCATGTGACAGTATTGTGCTACACCTCTGGCCTCCTGTGCATGCTCAATCCTGTTTACTGGCTTTAACTTCCCACTGTTGCTGCTTATCTCCATAGCATTAGTCAGTGGAATCTGGAAAAAAACTTGGACGCTTCCTATCCTGCAGATATAATCCTAGCTGCATGTGTGTGAAGATCTCATGCAGTATTGAGAGAGAAGCTGTGGACTCTTGCTGAATACGTCCTGGTATAGAACTTGCTTTGTTTAGCTTCTGATCAGGTGGCAACCAGCAGCCAGGCAGTCTGAAATTACAATGAGCATTTGTAAAGAAGAAGGGGGGGGATGGAGAGGTCATGGGTTCATTGGAAAGCAGGGAGCCTGGAAACAACAGCACTATGCATTCATCCTCTTAGCTTGTAGAACATGGTTAAGTTTTAAGCAGCGATAAAAAATCATGGCACAGCTAATCTTTTTTCCTGCTGATTTTTTTTTTTTTTCCCTCTGAGCAGCCAGTTAAGAGGCAAACATAGATTACTGGCTTGTATATCAGAATGGACAACATGGGTGTCTACAGTCATTGCCAAGAGGATTCCCCCAGCAGTACTTGTCATGCAGGCAAGCAAGTTCTTTTGCAGAACTGTGTGCTGTGGCACTAGTTCTAATCCAGATATAATTACCTGGAATGGTCCAACAGGTGTACAGCCCAGGTGTTATATACTTACTACTGCCTGTGGTATCTTCATGGCATTTGAAGTCAACACAGTGATCAGATTTCACTGAATCCAAGTGTAAAATCTGTCTGCACCTTACTCTGTGTTGTGTTTTTTTAATACAAAATTGCCATTGCCTCCATTGATAATACATGCAAGTTTTTGACAATTTTGTTACAATTAAATGGAAGAAGGATAGTGCTTTAAGAGCACCAGAAAATGAATGAATTTGTTATTTTCAAGTGTCTGGGTGGCATATAAAAGATTCACAATACTGAATAACTAAACTTGATGGTATGGGCTATTCTAAAGGACACTGGGCCAGCAACAAGTAAGCACACTGCTGCAGATACTCTGTGAACATCTGATGTTTGCTCCTTCTGGGACTGGATACAACAGGGGGCTAATATCCATAAAATCTCTGATCCACATTCAAGTACCTGAAGTTCAAATGATGCTTCTGAACAGAGAAAGAAGTAGAGACAAACAAAACCACTATTACACTATTAAACATGATTTTTTATTCTTTCTGATTTTATAAACTGCTTCTACATATGCAGCAAGTTCTTGGCCAATTGACAGAAAAAAAGCATTTTCAAAAGCATTTAAAGAACTGTTTTCTTAACATGACATTAAAGGTGTAAAACTTTTCAATTGTGTTTTAGTCTGCTGTGTTTTTTCTGTGCCTGCACCCTCCCTTTAGCTGCTCGGGAAAAACATTTTGAGTCTGAGATATAAGAAATACAGAGCTTCAGAGGGTCTGGAAAGCAAAAGCCTGGTCCCACTTTTAGCCAGGCATTCCAGCCAGGCATTCCTTGTCATAGTAGAGGATGGAAAGATCAAATGACAGGCCTCCTCACTGTTAGAACCTCAATACTCCTGATCTGAGTTACTGTCACTGCAGAGAAATGCCAGTTTCTCCTTGACCTGCTCATAGAGCTAATGCTGTGGCATTGAAGGTAATTCCATTACCTTCCATACTCATCAAGTGAACCAAGACTTGTAGGAAAAGAAACTAAATCTCCTTGGTTACATAAAGCCTAGTATAATGTGGCAAAGAGTTAAGAACCAGTTATTTGCCAGTGGTATAGAGGCTGCAGGATTCTTCCTGGAGATGTCAGGAGGGAGATCTGGTGGTATTCCTGAAATCCGCTCTGAAGATGTGAGTTACCAGTAAGCATTCCTTGTGGAAGAGAGGGTGAAGTAAAGACAATCTCTATAGATTATATCCCAGAATTAGCAAATGAACTAGGAGCTATTCATTCCAAGTTGATTGTATAGGACAGGGCAATGGTTGCAGAAGATTGTTTCATTTTGATTGGAGGAGAAGTTCAAGTGTGGAAATAGCCCCTGTACTAACACACTACTGGACTCCTGAGAATATCAGTGGTTGAGTTAGATGTTAAAATAGGTCATTAAATTCAGGACAGGATAGTCTTATGACTGTTCCTCTAGAGCTATCTTTCTGGATTAGCTGATAGATAGGTTGGTTTTTCAATTCCTCCAGCATCTTGAAAGAATGCTAAAAAAGCAGCTGGATAAAGACAGCACTGTATATCAAGGACTCATTAAAGAAATACAAACCACAGCCTACTTAGGCAAGCCTTCACTGGTACTTGACATACTTTTCTCCTAGGCCTCTAAATGCTCTGAAGGCAAGGATGAGGGTCAGCTTTGAGTCTCCATCCTGAAAGCTGATGGTGAAAGCAGGACAAGAACAGTGCACCTTCAGCCACCTGAATGGCTGAGGGGATGCACTGTGTCACTCTGCAGTGAAAGGTTCTTTATGATCAGCTGTGCCATGTGGCTGAATTTCAGCTAACTGGCTACCAAAGAATAAGCAGCCCTGCTCTCTTAAAGTAGTAGATTAAGTCTCTTG